TTTAAATTTTCAAAGCATTCCCTAATAATCTGGCTTCCATTTGTTAAAATCAACAACAGAATTGATTTTATTAATTTGCACCTTCTGTTTCTCTTGGTTAATTTGACTAGTGTTTGGTCAATCTTGTTGAATCTTCCAAAGAACCAGCTGTTGTCTGGTTAATGTTGTGTGTTGGTCTTTGCATCTCATTCACCCTGCTCTGGTTTGTATCATTTGTTGCCATCTGTGGACTTGGGTTTGGCTGCTCCTTGCTTTTCCAGAGCTTGGAGGTTATTTAAAAACTGTTTTTTTAACCTAAGTACAAGGAGCTGCAAGACTCTCCTGTCAGGACTACTGCCTTCATTGTACCCTAAAGGTTCTTTCTGGTGGGCTATGTTCTCATTTCATTCTAGGACTTCTTTCATTTCTCCCTGGATTTCTTCAGTGACCTAGTTTGGTGACTGTCCTGGCTAAATCTTGAAATTTTCTTGTGCATGTTTTGAATTAAGTTCCATTTGTTTCTTTTGGGGACCTTGGCATTTCAGTGCTTCAACTGTTTTCCAGGATCGAGAGGCTGTCTGCTTCTGGGGTGCCGGGGTAGAGTGTCACTCAGTCTGTGGGGTGCCAGGTGGAGTGTCACTCAGTCTGTTTGTGGGGTGCCGGGTGGAGTGTCCGTCTGTGGGGTGCCGGGTGGAGTGTCACTCAGTCCGTCTGTGGGGTGCCGGGTGGAGTGTCACTCAGTCCGTCTGTGGGGTGCCGGGTGGAGTGTCCGTCTGTTTGTGGGGTGCCGGGTGGAGTGTCCGTCTGTGGGGTGCCGGGTGGAGGGTCACTCACACATTGTTGTGCTGTACATATCCTCTGATTTGTACTGCTCCTCTTTTTCCTACTTTTTGTTCAATTTTTGTGAATTTTCATGATGAGTTCCCTTCACTTGAGTTTATGTTCAGGGGGAAGGTTGGCTACACAAACAACTATGATGGTTTGATACCAGTTAGCTGCAGAAGGTGACACCTAGTAAGGTTTGAAAAGAGGAGCGAGCCCTAGAGTCCTGGCTAGGGAAAATGTATATGTAATAGTAAAGTAAGAGAGAGTGAGGTACACACAGAAGATAGACAAGGAATGAATGAAAAGGGTCAGCCTACAGGCTAGAAGTCGAAAAGATACTGTAGATTTGAGAAGGGGACAGATGTTAGATGTTAAGTGGAAAGTATGTAAGAAGGTCCTTGCTTCTTTCTGCTTTACCCCAAGAACCACCATTGGTTTAGGTGAAGATAAGCTTCCATTTACTTTTAAATGGCTCTTTGCAGAGTTCCTTAAAAACCGTGTTCTTCAGAGAAAAGCCCTACGCATCTTAGCCACATTAGCTGTGGAGGCTCACAACTGTGATCCCAGAATTTGGGACGTGAAAGCAAGAGGATCAGCAGTTCAAGGTTACCCTCAGTTACAGAGCAAATCCCAGGCAAGCCTGGGCTACACGAGACCCTGTCTCAAAAGAATACCAAGGCCAAATCATGGGATTATAACTGGAATCATGTTATCAAATATACAGATTAACATCTCCCATGATTTATAAGACACTAGAACAAGTTCACCAGGTGAAACTTGTCATTTACCTAAATGGTATGGGGGAAAAAGAATAAAAAGCATTGTACAATTCTCAAGAAGACTTTTATAGGATAAGTGAAAATACAAATTATTTCTTGGCATTTAGCTTGCACCTCCAGAGGTCACAGTCCAGAAAACAGAATCTAAAAGAGGTCCCTGAGCACACTGTGGCCTGTCTACACAGTTCCATGCCAATGAGCTGGCCCAGATCAGCAGTGCTCCTCTTGTCTCGACTCGGCACACTGGCCAGAGAAGCAGACAGGCTCCTGAGCAGCGCAGGCCGGCAGCAGCACGACACACGTGCCATCGGAGCTACTGGCAATTTTCTTTCCTCATTTATACTCCAAGCTAAAGATTTATTTTTTCTGTATCAATAATACGCTATAGAATTGTTTCCAACCTTTTCTCAATTCCCTTGCTACCTAAGGGAGCCCCATGAGAAAGACAGGTAGGTTTGAGCACAACTTACCAACTCCTTTCATAGTTAGTTGCTTTTTCCCCTCTAAGAAACCTTAGAAATTTGGAGTCTGGTTTCACCTCAGCATTCAGGGCAACACGAAGCTGGTATGTACTTCACGGAGCTAGGGCGGGGAGGGGGGAGGTTGGGGCTCATGGCATCTGAAAGAAGCAGCCTGACCCCCTTCTCTCTCATAGGCCCAAGACCACTCTCACAATGGAGTGTGTATTTTTGGTTTATTCATTGAGGGGGCACGGTGGGATCCTGAACAGGAAGTGCTAGAAGACTCACTACCCACTGACTTACGCTGTGAATTTCCTGACATCCACTTTTTGCCAACAAAGGTAATCCCCTAACTTGATAAAGAATTCCCAAATTTCTGAACTCCTATGAAAAGACTGGTTATCAGCACAGACCAAGTTCTCAGCACAAAGGAGATTTATTTGCCCCAAAGGAACAGAGGGCAGGGAATAAAAGACAAAGACAGGAGATAGAGGATGAGGGAGAGGGGGAAAGGGGACAGGGGTTTTTGTCCCAGAGGGATAAAGGACTGCCTCTGGATAGAGGGGAGACAGACATGACATAGGAAAATGGCAGTTTATAAAGGTACAAGGGGGTTAGGATGGGGTCATTTTAATTGGGAATGTTAATTAGGACACATGAAGGGGGGGCTTTTGATTGCTGGACTTCAATATTTGATAGCTGAGCCTTGGCAGTCAGCCTCAGGAGATGGAGTGGCTAAATAAGCAAGTAGACCTTGGCGGCTCGTTTTAGGAATGTAATCCAGTGGGCTTAAGCAAGGGAGAGGGAACAGGGGAAGGCCAAGGCCTGCCAGAACGTGCTCAAGTCATGCTCAGTCTATGAGAGTCCCTTTAAGAATGCACTTTGACAGAACAGCACAATACCGTAACAGGTCTACAACATGCTGAACTGATGTCCAGTGTCACCTCAGGGACGTCCTAATGAAAGGGACATCCTAAGGAAAGCTATCGCGCTATCTCTATTTTAACTTCTCTAGATGCCATCTCAACCTGCAACTGCACTACCATCAATTAGTACAAAGACCATATGTAATTCCTAACAAATACTACTCTCAGAAATGTGATCTGTCCATTCTCTTAATGTGATGTGACCAGGATTCTTTCTTTTTAGATTGAAGCATCCCAAACTTCTGACTACACAGACTCAGAACTCCACACTTTTGAATGTCCAGTTTTCCAAACACCTGAGAGGTCAAGAAACACTACTGGTTCACCAACAAACTTATTAACATCCGTGCATTTACCAACGAAGAAGCCTCCCAGTCACTGGATCACCATGCAGGTTGCACTGCTGTGTGAAAAGAATGAATGAAATAAATATCCATACCAAACAGTTTGTTTGGGCTCTAACCCAATACATCAAGATACTCACCTGTGGGGAAGAGCCCTGTAACATCAGCACAGCACATGTGTGGGAGTCTTCATGAGGTAAACAGTGTCTGTGCTGGCTTTCAAAGAACACCGGGGCTTCTGCTATGAATATATATTTGCTTCCAAGGGTTACAAAACCCACAATAGTTTTCAGGCACTTGGTGTTCTTAAACAGCAAAAACTAAAAATGATCAGTTTTTGAGAATTGGGACTTCTGCCCCTACTCCTAAACTCTCAGATTCCAACATATTTGTTGGGATTTATTACTCAACCTCCTGAACTGCTGTGATTATAGGAACGAACCACCACTGGCTCAAGCTCCAGTTTTGCTATAAATCTGATGAGTCCCTGGGGTTCCTACAGCTCAGAAAGACCCAGGCAAATGATCCAAGAGGAAAAAACATGGGCTATGGTAGCAAAGCACGGGCTCCTGTGTGACCCCAGAGCTGCAGGCAAAAAGAATGAGGCTCCAGAGAGATCAAAACAACTCTTTATTTTCAACTGAAGTTTTTTATTATGAAGTTTTTTATTATAAAGCTTATCAGCTTATCAAACATCAAATTAAAAACAACTTGCTCCTGATACCCAGACACTGGCGCACTACCCTATCTCAGATTCTTCTCACTGAAGACAAGAACCCGTCTTTCATCTTACTCCAAATTCCCTTGTAAGTTCAGCACATATGTGCCGATACCAGGAGAAAAGCAAAATAGAAAAACACCTGCTTGAAGACCTAAGTACTAGCAAAACAATGGCAATTTCATAAAAACAGTCTAAAAATTACAGAATGCAGAGTGTCCCTTCATGATCACGGTAATATAAACTATGCACTCTAAGCTGGAGAGCAGAATGAACGCTTTGCATCTGGCTCATATGTGATGTGTAATCAAAACAAATCAACACACTATAATTACATCCTTCTGCTTAAGATTCTGAGGACAATGTAGCTGTCAATATAAAACTCTAGGAATTTGCCACTTGTCCTGCTTCAGGACAGTCACTATGAAGAAATCAGCTTTACTAGAATCCAATGGCTTCAACCAGCTTATTACAGCTATCAAATTGAAACAGAACATGTTTAAACTAGCTTCTTAAAAGTTGTTTCAAGAAAAACCTTTCTAGAGAGTTCTGAAGACAAAGGATACAAAATAGTACAAACTGTATTAAACAGTAGCAAAAACACTGTTGAATTTTTAAGTCAAAAACATAAAAAAATAGTAGCCTGAAATGGCAATTTTTCCAACACCAATGCATGTAAAAATATTTAAATAGTGCTGTTACTCCAAAAATATTTTTTTTCTATTTGCAACAGTTTATAAAGGCAAACACACCTGCAAATTGAGGTAGCAAAGCCAAATTCACAAACTTTGGATAAAGAAAAATAACTTTCCTATATTTTAACTTTAAATGAACTCTAATTGCTTTACACTTTTAAATTCACATACTTTACAAAACTTAATTTAAACACTGAAAATGTTTTTTTTAAAAAAAACTACTTAGTTTCCGATATCTCAAAAACTGTACAGAAAAAAAATCACAAGACACCATATATTACATAAGCTATGTATTTACATTTCCAAAAGCACTCTTAAAAGCTGAGGTCAAGCCACTGCTATGATCTCCTTCCTCTTCACATACACCACCAATACTAGGCTGGGGTTTGCCTGACATATAGAGACAATTCTCAATGTTTCTTTTAAGTACGGGTTTTCACTTAAGAAAAACCAATTGGCAAAAACAAAAATAAGACTTCAGATTTTTAGGGATTAAAACTTTCCTGTTAACAAGCAAACTCTACCACCTCTGTACTTCCCCTTACGTTAACTGCTATATAACTATATTAAAAGAGCTACTATTTGGCTCTATAGTCCTGACTCAGAAAAACACTTAGAGATCCTGTCAGTGCAACAACAGCTAGTTCATCTGGACTTCCTCCTGGTCTCTGAGAGGTGTCTGACTTGCGGGGGCACCGAGCGCAGGTCAGTAAACATAGGGCAGTATGCGGTAGGGCACGCGCTGGCAGTACTTCTCCCAGGCCAGGCCATACTTCCTCTTACACTGGTGCTCATCCCGGGCTTCGCGGTGGACAAGCAACACGGTGAAGTAGATGACATAGAAGTAAGGCAGGAGGTGGTTAAACCCTGTAGGTGACAACAGCAGCCACTGGATTTATTTCCACCCCGTGATTTTTCCTGGTTTCCCTCAAATGCCAGAAGAACTCGTTTTTCTGAATCAAGGTATACCAAATCACAAACTAAATGTTCCATACTGTCTTCTTAGGAAAGCCAACTCAAAACATTCCCAATACCCTCAGGAGCTAGACAGCAACTGATAAACACCAAGAAAACAGACCCTGAAGCAGGCAGGAACTCTCATCCCACCACAGCAGCCAGACATGCTCCAACCAATGACATTAAGGTGATCAAGTTAGCACTGAGATGCTTACCACATGGGAGGGACCAGGCCAGAGCCATGATGAGATCACCCAAGTAATTGGGATGGCGAACAAAGCCCCACCATCCTGAAACAAGCAGACTCTTCCCCGTGGAAGTATGGATGGTCTTTAAATCTATACAAAAACAAAAACCTCCTTTAATGACCTCTAAAATGTGAGGCAAAGAAACCTACACATAACAAATCTATAAATACAAATCGACAAATTTAAAGAAATCCTTACGTGCGAGCTTTGGATCAGTGGGATTCTTCCGGAATGCATTTTTCTGAGAGTTTGCACAACGGAAGATTACATAGCCACAAACTGAAATTTTAAAATAGTTTCCTGTTAGTAATTTAGATGTAATCCAGCATTTAAAATCTGCAATTTCTCTTAGAAACTTGTTTCTGAGCCCTAAAGAAATGTCCAGAGTAAAAATAGTCTGACTTCTTGAAAACTGAATAAACACACCCAATCCCCAAATGCCAGTGAACTCTTCTGAAATCTCACTCATCACAGCCGGCCAGCCATGCCCACAAAGAACAGGGTCTGAGACAGCAACAGAGGACACTGACTACAGGCTCCCTTGTCTGCTGTCTACAAGATGTGCAGTCACAACACAGTTACTTCCTCGGTAAAATACTAGCACTCCGGTAGATTTATTCACATTTCAACAGACCCTGACATGGCACTACTATTTGATCTGAATAACAAATCTCCACTTGAGTGTCTCTGTAGGACGCAAACTCTTTTGATTAACTCACAAGTGCCACTGACAGGAATAATCAATGGAGAAACTAAATCTTCACGTTAACCAGGTGCTTGAATTTCCTCTTCCATCACAGATACTCAAGTGCCCTAAAACTATTTCACGAATATAGTTTCTATATTCAAGCTAATGTTCCCGTCCACCTCTAGTAGAGATTTTGAATGATCACAAAGGACTAAAGGAAAACCACCTGAACTGGTAGACCTCACAGCAGCCAAGCTGGGCCTCTTCCTCTGTCCTGCCCACCGCTTACCTGTGCTGACTTGGCTCCCTGCCTGTCTCCCATCCTTATTTACCCACTGAGCCTCAAATCCCACATCCTCCAGTATGTACAAGCTGATATTCCCCAGAACTGGCTCCCTTTCCACTTCTTGCTTCTGCCATACATGCCCCTTAGTATATATAGTAAGACTGAAAGTTGTATAAAGACCAATTTCATTTTTAAGATCTCTAGAAAATACAGGCTTTTGAAAGCAAAGAAAAATTTTTCCTAAGCAATACAATCTATTTCAACTGCTTAAACGTAAAAGTAAAGTGTGCTACTGAGAGAACTAGTGGAGCTAGCATGTCTTCGATCCTCTCTGTAAACTTCAGAATGTTCTCAGTACTTATCATAAATTATTTCAAAGCTGTGATCAAGTACAATGGAGTGTGACGGACAACAACCAAAAACAGCAGACACAGTGCCTTGGACTGAACAGAGCTAGCACTCACGTTTCAGAGCAATGATGACGGAAGCCAATGGCCAGGACAAGTCGTAGGGATGGCTGACCAAATAGAAGGCCTGAAGGCTGTAGGTGAATGGGACCCACACTAAGTCCCCAAAGGCCAACATGAAACCAAAGCCATCGTGGATGATGTCCATGGTAGTCAGCAATGCTTCCTAAAATGACAGATGGGAAGAAATAAAAGCCACCTTGAGTTTAAGGGATTTAAAGTACTAATTTATGACCAAGCATGTTAAGTGAAGGTACATCAAAGTGTTCAGCCTAAGTCACCATGTCTCACCTATCTTGCCGCCTCCTCACCCTAAACTGCAATAACAGACCCCAACCCCTCTCAGGCTTCTGCCGCCTTTGCCCTTGACCCCCCTGATCTCACTTTCCTGCAGCAGCCTCAGTCCCGTCCCCGGGCAGTGGTTCTGCCCCTGCGCCTGGCCAGTTCTTCTCAAATGCTACCATCTGTATTCTAGAAAGCCACTCACACGCTGACTGTCCACTTACACTCTCCACTGCCAAATGCACATGCCACAGTGCCCAGAGCAAGAAGTAATGGGTTCAAAAAGTGTGTGTGGAAAAGCAGTACAACCACCAACCACATCGGGATCATCTCAACTCTCCTATACATTGTCCACAAAAGCAGTAAGCTGGCTGGCAGCATGGCAAACAATGTTTCACACTCATATATACTCAGTTTGTCAGCAAGAGCACATGTCCACCAGATGTCTCTGGACCAAGATGCCTGAAGGTCAGACTCATGAGCACATCTCTGCACAATAGCTATCATAGAGTTCTGGCTTGAAGAAACAGTAATACTTTCAGGGCATCATGGAGTAAAAAAGTCAGAGGTCACAAATCTAGGCCCTACAGCTCACACCCTAGATGTCAAATGATGCTTATGCATACAGCTCTGGGGCCCTAAGCTCTGCTTATGAGGGTCCAAAACAAGATAAAGGTGACTGAGGAGCAAGGGATTAGGGCAAATGAAAACACCGTGACAAAAGTCAAAATGAAGGAGTTGTCAGTGAGAGGAACAAGCATGGGGCCAATTAGGACTCTAACCCCTGCTCAGGCTCACAGAGCTGCGGTTCACAGGACAGTCCTCACTCTCCAGGGCAGGTGCGTCTACACAGCACTCTCAGTTTCCTAACGTGGAAGGACCTGCACTGAAAAGTTCCCAGCAGCCGCCAGGTGCTGAGGAAATTATAGGGCGAGGTCTCTCCCTTCTTTACTCCCCCAAGCCGTCCTGCCTTCAGCAGCTGAGGAGAGTGCTGGGTAAAGTGAGGGCCGCGTAGGCATGAGGCCCAACTTCAAGCCCTGGACTCTTCACTTTAAAAATGAGGTGGCATGCACTTGTAATCCCAGCACAGGGAAGTCAGAGAAAGGTGGAGCCTGAAGCCTCTGCTCAGTCAGTCTGGCCTACTCTGAGTTTCAGGCCAGTAATACAAATCATTTTACAAAACAGAGGCCAAAGAGTGACACTGAGGTTGTCCTCTGGCCCTCACATGTATATGTGCACATACACCCAAGGCTAACAGAAATCAATGTTAAGTGTTTAGACAGCTACGTCTCAATAGAGCTACTGGCACACCTACCAGTGTCCATGTGCAGGCCCCTTGAGCCACTACAGCATCACCAACACAAGGCCGAGGCAGGCTATACCACCCTCACTCTGTATGTAAGCAGCTCAAGGCTCCCCAGAGAAAAACCAAAGTACTGACCAAAAGCTGCTTGAGTTCATGGCGTCCAAGAACTCAGCTCTTAAAACTATCTCGTGCAGGCACAGAAATGCACTCCTATAATTCCAACTCAGGAGACTGAGACAGAAAGATCACTTCAAACCAGCATGGACTATTAGGACTGGGAAAAAAAAAAATAAAGTCAACAAATTACCTCGTTCCAGAGGGCATCCACCACGTACAAGAGCTGGAAACTGTTAACCAAGACCATAGCCAAAGACGGGGCACCACGTTCCTGTACTTTCATTTCCGCCAAGAGCATCACCAAGTTAACAAGCACCTGGAAGAGGCAGGAAGAAGCCATTCTCAAAGGCACTCGCGGGACAAGCACAGCCGAGAAGCCCAGTGCACATCACCCACGGCCACTTCAACCCTGACTCGTGTCACACCTGTGCTACTCCTGCCGACATGTGCAGCCCCACTCTCACCATGAGAACACAGTGGAATGATCTGAATTAAAAGATGGTCTTAAGAATGACTCATCAGGTGGGGCAGTAGTGGTGCACGTCTTTAATTCCAGCACTTGGGAGGCAGAGGCAGATGGGTCTCTGTGAGTTTAAGGACAGCCCGGTCTACAAAATGAGTTCCAGGATATCCAAAGCTACACAGAGAAACCCTGCCTCTAAAAACAATAAAATAAAATAAATAAGAATGACTGATCAGTATATCTTCAAAGCAGTGATTTGGTCATGGGGGACTAAGGAACCTGCACAGACTAGAGGAGACAAGAAGAAAGAATAGAGCAGTCATAAACTCCTAACGGAATCCAGTAAGGGCCATGGATCTCCGTACAAACAGATCTCCTGTCCTTGATGGGCCAGGCATTAGTACAGGATCCAACTAAGGAATACAGGAGATTCTCAGCTCTGCTGCAATTCTCCAAGTCTGAAACGGAGTCTAAATAAGGGGAAGGAAATAGATAATTCTGCATTATCATTATCACTCTCCTAGATATATGCAATAAAAATGAAAAAATTCTGTGATGTTTAATAACCCATAATAAGGTATCTTAAGCCTGTAAAAAAATTATAAGAAAATATTTTGTGTTAAGACAGAATGATGGAAAACTGTAATTACTCTTCTTTAAAACTGCTACATTTCCTTCTAAAGACAAGATAAAGTCATACCACTGAATTTAAACAAAACGAAAATAAAAGACATACCCATCCAATCAATCCAGGACGCAATTCACAAAAGTATTTGAGATCAAAAGCACCAATTCGTGGATTTAATTCACGGCCAATGAAGAAATCATAGACAACACTTCCTGGGAAGGGAAAAGTATTTGTTTACCCAGTCACAAGTATTTAAATCCAACTGCTCCCTATTACCAGGTCCAATCTCCCTCAAGAGACTAGAGAGGTGAAAGTAAGGGACAGGACTGGGGAGTGAGGGCTGCCACGCCTCCTGAGGGCTCACGTGACCAGATTCCCCACAACTAAGAAACTGGAGGGATTTGTTTTGGTTTGGGTTTTCAAGACAGGGTTTTTCTGTAACTTGCTTTGTAGACCAGACTGGCCTCAAACTCACATAGATCCACCGGCCTATGCCTCTCGAGTGCTGGGATTAAAGGCATGTGCCACCATACCCAGCTCTGGGTTTTGTTTTTTGGATTTTTTTTTTTTTTTTTTTGTAAATAGAAAACCTTTTTCTTTTTCCTTTTTTTTTAAAGATTTATTTATTTATTATGTATACAATATTCTGTCTGTGCGTATGTCTGCACGCCAGAAGCGGGCACCAGACCTCATTATAGATGGTTGTGAGCCACCATGTGGTTGCTGGGAATTNGGCGCCAGATCTCATTACAGATGGTTGTGAGCCACCATGGGGTTGCTGGGAATTGAACTCAGGACCTCTGGAAAAGCAGCCAGTGCTCTTAACCACTGAGCCATCTCTCCAGCCCCCTTCTTTTTCCTCTTTGAGACAAGGTCTCATTACATAACTCTGGCTGGCCAGAGCACTTTATTTAGATCAGGCTGGCCTCAAATTCAGAGAAATCCTCTTGCCTCTGCCTACCAAGTGTTTGGTCTAAAGGCATGTACTACCACATCCAGTCCATAGGAAACTTTTTAAAAATAATATCTTAGGTCAGAACCAAACAATGTGCAGCCTGTTTTTTTTTTTTGGGGGGGGGGGTGCCTTTTTAAGGAATTTACTACTTGCCAAAAATAGGTAGAGAGAGAGATGGGAGAGCGTGAGAAAGGGAGGACAAATAAAAACTTAGGATTTTAGCCATTTAATAACTAAAAATCAATGAGCACTAAATAGAAAAGTGTAAGAAGAAAAAACATTTAAATTTTGCCTTCTTTTTTTCTACACTTGTTTTCTTATGTCTCTTCATTTCCCACAATTATGCTAGAAAAAAACAACAATCTACTCAAGCGCAGCCCTGGCTGCCAAGGCTCTAGACACACCCATCCAACACATGCTGTAACTGCTCACCAGAACTGGCAGGTGACAGCTCATCCCTAGGGGCCTTCAAAGAGTGGGCATAGAGATAAACACTCAGGACCACTGAAAACACAGTGGCTGCAAGTGCAAACTGAAGGAAGTGAGTGTACACATAACACAGTTCTATGCCCCAGAAGAGAGATGCTCCCACGACAGCAGATGTCAGGACAAAAGCGTAGAATCCTTAAAAAGAGAAGAGAGAGAAGTTAATTAACATCATCCTGGGGCTCACATTTCAGTTTATTTTTTTCAAGACATGTCACACTAGGTTGCCCAAACTAGCCTTGAATTTTTGGGCTCAAAACACCCAACCCCCCAAGCCCCCCCCCCCAAACACACACACTTTAACTTCCTGGGCACAAGGAGCTACCAGCCAATACAGTGTTTTTATGTTTAAGTCTTAACTTCACTACCCATATTATAGTCAGAAATGTGCAAATACGCAATGTTCTTCCAGTGCAATCTTCAATGTAAATACTCTTGTGCAGGCTTTCAAAAATATTAATATTTCTTTGCACTATGAGCCATCATTACTACTGCTAATTAAAGGAAAGCTGAGGGCTAGAGAGACGGCTCAGCAGTTAAGAGCAATGGTCCCGAGTTCAATTCCCAGCAACCAACCACATGGTAGCTCACAACCATATGTAATGAGATCTGGCTCCCTCTTCTGGCCTGCAGGCATGCAGGCAAGCAGAATACTGTATACACAATAAATAAATTCTAAAAAAAAAAACTGAAAAGAATCTCAAAATGCACTACTCCAAACCATCAAGAGTCCAAAGTCAACTAACTAGGTTTTCAGGTCTAATGCCATTACCTATTAGCAGAATGACCTTAGTAGGTATAAAATTGTAAAGATTTACTTTGGAATCCACTAGTCGGTAATGGTATAAAGATTCAAGTCATATTGTGCCACCTAGAAAATGGATATCAAGATACCCTACCCTCATAACAGAGGCCACAACAAAATCCTGAGAAAACCAAGTGTGGTCATCCATATTTGTAATCCCAGCAACCAGCCAGACTAGGCTACATTCTCATGCATAAGCAGCCTTAAACCCCCAGAGGATCCACAAGCCAGTTCACTGGTGTTGGCCAACAGTGTGTGTATTGGGGGAGGGCATCAGGGGGAGAGCAGTTTTGCCTTTTGTCTAAAGAAATCATTTTTATGGCAAAAGCTGAAGTGTGTTCCAGATGAAGTCATCAAATTATATTTCAATTAAAAGTCAAATACAGGAAAGTCATGGTGATTAATGAGATTTCTAAGTTTTGGTAGTTAAGAGGGTCATCACAAATCTGCTATCTAAACTTGTGTTTTCTACATACCAAGTTTATTCCAAGGAATAACGTTAAAGTTATGAAGTGGTTAATATAGTTGTTTTTCACTTGAGAGCCCATGCAAATTAACCATCCAAAAATTTCTTAGGAATTTTCTTAGTGGTAAAATCCCATAAAAAGAAATCAAGTAATATTAGAAGCAAAAATAAACAGAAGAGGGAAGTTTTTACAAACAATCATGTACCCAGGTGCAGTGTTTGACCTCTGAACAGACCACACACCCTCAATGGAGACAAAACATGGCTCAGAAAACCCAAACACCCAGAGCAAGAGGCCTGAGAGCAAAAGTAAACAACCCACTTCTGCCCAGACAGCAAGAGACAGAGCATGTCAAAGAGACAGGTTCCACCAGCAAGGAGTTGAGCAAGAACAAAAAGGATGGCCAGTACCAGCAAACATGACCTAAAGTCTAGCACAGAGCTGGCTGGGATGGCTTGCAACTTAGCACTTAAAGGCAGGCAGCCCCGAAAATATTTCTGCTTCCCTTCTAGAATCCAGCAGGATGATTTTAGGTAAGAGTGCTGCTAGGCAAGCCAGAAAACAAGCACCACCCAAAACTAGAAAAGGAGGAAGCCAAACATTAAGATTTATTCAGATCGTTCCTCGCTTACAATGGTTGAACTTAGGAAGTTCCCACTGTAGCATGCACAGTAAAAAGACACATTCAGAGCCATACACAAATTGGGTCCAGGCTAGCAACATACATACAATGTTCTCTCCTGGTGCTGGACAATGCAGTGAGCTGCATGATCACAAAGGTGACCAGCAGATGCTCTACAGTGGTCTGTGCTGCCAGGAATAGGAAGTACATCTGCAACTTATGGTATGACCAGGTAAGATGGACTTACAGATGTAAGCAGTCCTAAACTGAGGAGCATTTGTCATAGAATTCTAAATGAAAACAAAATCACTCTACCCGATCTAGTAAAATAGAAAATCACTTAATGATAACAACCACACAGATTTCTTAGAATCACATTAGTGGCACTTTATCAGTCTTCAGAGGGTAAAGTTGTACTGAGTCCCTAGCACACATGCTGACCATGGAGACACCTAGACCATAGTTAGTGTCAACATCTGTCGTTAGGCATGCTCCATGTTGTTCCTCCCACTCCACACAAATGTGCCGGTGAGTGCCCATCACCCTAGTGTCAAGTGCATAGTAAACACAACCTAGCCCACAAAGCTACATCCTACCAGGAAAAATCCAGTAAACAGAAGATATGATGTGGGAAGAGATAACAATCAGAAAATAAAAGCAGGCAAGAATGGACCCAAAGCTTTTTCCTTACTTTTTCAATTAGCAGTGAATTTCTCCACCTTCCTTACAGCTTCCTCTTAATTAAGAAGCAATAATAATTACAGATTCATGGTGTAAAAAGCATAAGTAAAGATGCAGCTTTCAGGCAAAGGGTTGACAGAGTGTACAAAAAGAGACAGCCCAGAGGCCAGTCAGCTGGCACCAAGCAACCCAGGACAAGAGTGGCTTCTGGGTGGGATGACTAGGACACCTCTACCAGAGGCGGCTTCCTAGAACCTCAAACAATGCTCAGTGTGGTAAAATCCTAGACAAATACTTTGAATGATCATAAGTGCTATTTTTGTTGTTATTGGTTTGTTTTTTCAAGGTGGGGTTTCTCTGTACAACAATCCAGACTGTCCTGGTACTGGCTTTATGTCCCAGGCTGACCTCAAACTCAGAGATCCGCCTGCCTTTGCCTCCCAATTGCTGGAATTAAAGGTGTACACCACTACCACCCAGCAGATGTAAGTGTTATTAAGAAAATAAAATAGTGATATTAAGAAAATTAAAAGCAGTGGTAGCACATGCCTTTAATCCCAGCACTTGAGAGGTAAAGGCAGGTGGATCTGAGTTTGAGGCCAGCCTGGTCTAGAGAGTGAATTCCTGTCTCAAAACAAAAAAGAACAAAAAGGAAAAAAAGAAAAGCTGGAGAGATCTCCCTATGGTTAAAAGTATGTGCTAAGCACTGGAGAGACGGCTCAGTGGTTAAGAGCACATACCTGTTCTTTCAGAGGACCCAGGTTCTGTTCCCAGCACAACATAGTGGCTGACAACCACCTATATATACAGAAGCCCAACACTTCTAACCTCTAACAACTCCCACATACATGGTGCATGTGGTGGTTTGAGTAAATATGGGCCCCATAGACTCATGTGTTTGAATGCTTGGCCTATAAGGAGGGGCACTATTAGAAGATGTGGCCTTGTTGGAGGAAGTGTGTCACTATGGGGGTGGGCTTTGCGGTTTCATATGTTCATGCTACACCCAGTGTGGAACACAGTTCACTTCTTGTTGCCTTTGGATCAAGATGTAGAACTACCTCTCCAGCACCATGTCTGCCTGCATGTTCCCTTGATTTCCATCATAATGATAATGGACTAAACCACTGAAACTATAAGCAAGTCCCAATTAAATGTTTTTCCTTTGTAAGAGTTACTGTGGTCATGGTGTCTCTTCAGAACAGTAGAAACCCTCACTAAGTGCATATACATACAATCAGGCACATGCACACATGCATAGACACTCACACACCAACAAAAATAAGTATTTAAATAATTAAATAAAGAGGCGAGTAATGGCTGCTCTTCTCAACCTAGGAAACCACAGTGGTTTCCCAGCACCCACATCGCTGCTCAAAATGATTAGAAACTCCAGTTCCAGAGGATCCAAAACCCTTTTCTACTCTGGTAGGCACTAGGCACAGACACGGTGTACACACATTCACACAGGTAGGCAAACACACACATAGAACAAAAATTTTTAAAGAAGAAAAGAAACAGAACTAACCAGGCTAGCAGCACACACTTGTAATGCCAGTACTCAGGAGGTTGAAGGACGAGAGCTAGCCTGTACTACAAAATGAATTCCAGGCTAGCCTGTGTGACATACCAAGGCCCCATCTCAAACAAAGGAACAGAGAGCTAGACACTAGGATTAAGTGTTTGGTCTGCACAGCATCTCTCATATTAACTACTAGAATAAGTTATTTATTCACAAGTTCTTCAGACTTCTAAAAGACAATCTACTGTTCAATATCCCAATGAATCAGTGCCAACAGTTTAAAACTGTAAGATCATTACGTATTTAAGAAAAAAAAATCACCATTTATTCTATACTTGAGTCTTCTTCCATCAACAAGAGGTGTTCCTTCTACAACCTTAAAAGGAAAAAAAATATTAAATTTTAATTTAAAAATTAAAGCACATTATCACCTTTCTTACACACTACACATTTAAGTACGTGATCTCCACAAGAAAGTACCTCACGGGGGTCTGGAGAGATGGCTCAGTGGTTAAGAGCACTGACTGCTCTTCCAGAGGTCCTGAGTTCAAGACCCAGCAACCACATGGTGGCTCACAACCATCTATGAGATCTGGTGCCCTCTTCTGACCTGCAGGTGTACACTGTATACATAATAAATAAAATCTTTTAAAAAAAAAAAGTACCTCATGGTAGGAAGTACAGCAGTGTGCAATGACAAGCCCTTTGACGAAGCAACCTCACGGTCAAAGTTCCCTTAAACATACATGGTTAGTAATTTCTCAGCACACCAAGACTACTGCCATAACCACCTCACCAAACCGTCCCACACATAGCACAAATCTAGTGTGCTCAGAAATCTCCACTGGGTTCCCAATTACTAACAAAACAGTCTCACATCTGTGAGGCTCTCTTCAAAAATAAATAATAAAAATTAAAAAACACAGAGAAGCTAGTAAGACCCACGGTCTCTACGACTCAATGAACTTCCACAGTTATAACAGTCATTCAAAAGGGAAGCTGCGGAGCGTCAAGGTCCATGTGCATGCTTTTTCACATGCGGGGAAATGAGTATATATGTAAACAATAGTTTAACATGAAGAGGAAAAACCTTTTCAGTCCAGTGTGTGCTGCCAACACCACGTACACACTCCTCTACTATGCTGAGTGTTATCTCCAGCAGGAGACTGCGAGCAAGCTTCCCAAGTGGGAATCACCATGGCGAACCCACTGCACATAGCACAGTGATGACCCTGAGAGGGTGGGAATGCTGCTGAGTAAAAGGGCAGCCACATACACCCAAGTAGTTCCTCCAAAATGTAGTCGTTCACTTTAAACCGTCACACACTAAGATAGTATCATCTGCCAGCACCTGTTCATTTGCTGTGGAAGGGGAACCCAGGATAGAAATGTAAAACCTGAGATCACAGGATTGGCGAAACCCCAAGCCATCCTTCTCAGTTGCAGCTGTCTTGTTGGGCTTTAGTCTGACAATACAGATACAGGTTTCAACACTATGTATGTATGTATGTATCTATCTATCTCTATCACTCTCATTTGTGTGCACACATGACTTTTAACCACCAAAGCTAATTTTCCAAATAAATGTCAACTAGTTTAGATAAGCCTCATGATAAATTAATCTGAATCTGAATAGAGCCCTACTGTAAGAACGAGTGTAGTTCCATCATCACAGATGCATAGGGCAGCCAGTTACAAAGAGACTGTACAGCACTGAGTCTGCAGCTCCACCCTAACAGAACTTCCCTTCCAGCTGGCAAAGCTGCAGTCTCCTAAGAATAAGATCTGAAATAAATTATGTACTGTTTAGGGTGGCTCATGCTCTTTAAACATATCTCTAACAACTGAAAGAACGCTACTCAGCGATGGGAGGGAGTTTAAAAGATACTATGAGAGTCTGAAAAAGGACTCAGTGTTCTTGACAAAATTGAAAACAAACTTTAATCTGTATTGTTTCTTTTTTTGAATTCATGGAGCTCAGAAGACAATAATTTAAGAAGTTATACCTGAAATGAACACACTGAGGAAGTGCTCTTTTCCCCAGCCGCCTCTACCAAGAGCCATCAATAGCTTACTCTTTCCTGTTGGAATTGGAGGGTGTGAGAGAAAGACTTGACTATCAACTTGACAAGATCAAGAATAACCTCAGAGCAAACCTCTAAGCAGTCATGAGGAAGTTTTTAGATTGGGTGAAGGTGTGAAGACCCAGCACCACCCAAGTGAAAGAGGAGGAGAGGAGCTGGAACACAGACTGCTCTTCCAGTTGACCCATGACTCAGAGGATGATTCCCAGCACTCACGTGATGATGGCTCACAACCATCTAAAACTCCAGTCCTAGGGGCTCTGATGCCCTCTTCCAGCCTCTAAGAGCACTGCACACATACAGTGTACATATGTACATGCAGGCAAAACACCCCCATACACAAAATAATTTTAAAAAAAGAAAGAAAAAGGGAAAGAAAGCTGAGTATAATTATTCATTGTCTCTGCTCCAAAAAACTACGATGCAATGACTAGCTGGACTCTCTTGCCACCATTAGTTCTTGAATATAGATGTTACCCCAAACCATAAGCCACAGAAAAAAAAAATTTCTTTTGTTAGGTATTTTATTGAAAAAACAAGAAAATACAGGACATTAAAAAAGAAATATAAATCAGTTTTAAATTTATGCTTAAAAAATGAAGATATAGGGCACAGAAATAACTATGTTAGTATATGACTGATAGCTTCTATCTTTGAAACTGCTATAAATATAAGTAATAACAAAGAAGTCACACAAGTTTCACAATACCATGCCCCTTCAGCCAAACCTTACCTTCAGCCAGGATGGAACACACCTTTAATCCCAGCACTGGGGAAACAGAGGCAGACAGATCTCTGAGTTCAAGGCCAGCCTGGTGGTGAGCTCCAGGTCAACCAAGACTACACAACAAGAACCATGTCTCAAAAAGAGAGACAGAGACTGAGAGAGAAAAGCAAGAAAATTATAAACCCCAAAACCTTACCTTCCCAATTGGGAGAAGGTAAAAGAGAGCTTGAACAAAAAACCAGAGGAGGTAGATGCCACAGACTCTGGTCTCCCACAGCTCATCCAGAGTTGGCAGAGGAGGAGGGAAGCTCAGCAGGCTGGGGTCCTTCTGCCTACACTGCAGCAGCAGCAGGAGGAGGCAGGCAGGCAGGCCGAGCATGATGAGAACCGCACCTGCAAACAACCAGTCCAGTCAAACTCAAATTTCAATCAAATCCATTTCATTGTTAGTCATGTGGGATTTATTTATTTACTTATACTTGTAGGGCAACACTAGGCCTGCGAACTGTTTAAAACCAATCTACAAGGCATCATCAAAATCTCACCCATCTAGGGGCTGAAGAGAAGGCTTAACAGTTAAACGCACTTGCAACCACATGGTGACTCACATCTGTTCTCCTGTGACCTCCCTGGCCACCAGGCACACATGTGATGCACATAACAAACATGCATGCATATAAAGTAAATCTTAAAAAAAAAAAAAGACACCTCTCCCTTATCTCAGGCTGAGGAAATGGTTGAAGCAGGTACGTAAGGAGTTCAAACTCCAGGATTTATAGGCGGAAGGAGAGAACTAACCCCAACCGCTACATGAACACTGTAGCATTAGCTTGCTTACTCTCTCTCATGCTCTCTCCTTCCCTTCCTCCCCCACCAAACAAAAGAGTAATAAAACATAGTAATTTTTAAACTCCATCTCTGTCACCCCCAATGGGCACACAACCTTGGGCAAGTGAGGAAAGCACAAACTCATCTGAGAGAGCTAACTCTGAAATTTTCATCTCCAGCCACCGAAAGGGCAAGTCCTGAGATCCAAACAATAGTCAGTCTGATCTTTATGAGAAGAGGAAACAGGATCTTTTTACATAGCCTACGTTAGCCTTGAACTTACTATGTAGCTCAAGCTGGTCTTGAACTCTACAGATCCTCTTTTCTCAGCCTCCCAGGGCTGGGTTATAAGCATGAGTCAAGCCTGAAAATGAGCCCTGTAATCTTAACAGACTTTATATCCATGAATTTCTAACTTTAACATATTGTCACTTTCACACAACATGTACAGATTTCTAGTGATGCTGGACACCATCTGTGACAGACCACTAGCAAGGGTTGTAACTTACAACAAGCAGAACAGGTAAGTCAAGCAGACTACGGACTGTTTGGATGAGGGCCTGAGCTTCCGCCAGCTCCACGTGCTCACTAACCCTCTGCACTGTGCTCCTTGAGCAGCTCATTCACACCGCCCAGCAGGTGGGGGGGGGGGCAGCAGGAGATTTTATGCTGCAGCCTGACCCTGCTATGAATGCAAGCCAGGCTCTGCCACCTCCCCTCATCACTAACAGAGCTCTCTGTCCCTACAGGGCCACCACTACCCTTCCCAGGACAAAAATCTCCTCACCACTCCTTTGCAATTCTATCCTCAAGACCTAATAGCTGAAACATTAAAGAGAATCACATCAACATCCTTTCTACTCTATGGCTGTCCCCTGCCAAAGCTCTCAGCTAAGGCCTTCATACCACTGCTCCTTCTCTGGAAAGTTCTTCCCTAGTCTACCATCTCCTCATTCTCTCCTTGCTGCACAGAGACCTTTCCTGCGCACATGAGACAACTCTGCCCACCCTTTCTCCTCCCTAGTGGGTTTTTAACACCTACCAGGTGCTCCTCCAAACTCTAAGTCCTTCCTCTGGGGAGTGGTCACTTGAAAGGTTTCCAAAGGTGCAGGTCCTTTGGTAACAAGCTTTTGTTCCTTGAACTCTATTTCTTTGACTTTGACCTCTTCTCTTCTCGGACGAAGGCTGTACTGTGTAGCCATGAAACTGCTTTCTGGTGATAAAATAACTCTTTCCTAGTTTGAATAAAAAAAGTATTAAATACCTATAGTTTACAATTAATGCAAATGCTCTTAACTCAGCATCTCTATACAGCTGTGAATATATAAGAATAAATGTATTAAATTGCATGCAGCCTTAAGGACAGAGTATAACAAATAAAATACAACAATTCCAGAGTGAGTGTGAAGGGAAAAGAAAGAGCGCCCCAGATGAAAGAGTACTTTGCTACCTGCTTGTTTTTAAGAGATATGTCATTTCTCTCCATGTGTTCTGGCTCCCCATTGTATATATTGATGCTGTTTCCAAACGGCTTCTAAATGGGACATAAAAACATCATAATCAGAACTGTAACTGACTAAAAAGATCACAATGATAACAAGTTACTACAATAACAAGTTACTACTAAAAGGATCACAATGATAACAAGTTAATGCTGGACATGAAGTAGAGACAAGCTAAAAGACAAGACAAAATCAGCTAGACCTCCTGGTTTTCAAAGGTCAGCTCTTACAGGATAAACTGTGTGCTAGTCTTTTGATAAGGAGCCTCATAATGTAACCAGCTAACCTCAGACTCACTATGTAGCTAGGGCTGGCCTCAAACTTGTGGCAATCCTCCAGCCTCACCATCCTGCCTGAATATTGGGATTACAGCTGTGTAGCACCATGTCAGGTTTCAGAGCAAACTTTCCATCTTTCAAACACTCTCCTACTAATGCTCCCATGTCACTCTGAGATGCTGTAACTTTTCTATGGAAGGCAGGTAAGTCGAAATTGGCATATTCATTCTTAAGCTAGAAAAAAAAAATGAAGAAAAAACATTCAGTGACCCTATAACAGTCAACAACAGGAAGAGTGGGTACCTGAAGTTCATGCTACCTGACATTTACCCTTAATTTTCTCCTTACAGAGAAAATAGAAGCAATTTAGCTTACAAGGGCTTGTTAAAATAAAGGTTGCAACATTTTCACTCCTCTGTAAACTATTAACTAAAGCACCACTGAGTCAAGAAGAAAACTAAAATCCAAGCATATCCTTGTGTGACAAAGACCAGCTGACAAACGACAGCATTAACACCGTAGTGGTTTCTAGCTCCATGTCTTACCAAGCAACAGAGCATTCGCCATACACTTAAGCTTACCCAAGTGTCAATGTGCCACTTGTTAGCAAATGACACACCTAAAAGCTATCTATGTGCAGTATCTCAAGTTCTGAATAATCTCTACTAACCAAAGATGGAACACAGCCAGTCAGCCAACTCTAAACCATGCTAACTACATGCCAATGCCTTCTATTAAATGGATAGATATATGATGGATGACAAGACGCTCAACACTGTGAGGTAAACTATTCAGAAAGAGCACAGCAGGAGTGGAAAGGAGCGGTCCTAACAAGATGTCCAAAGCCGAGGCAGCCTGAAGGCGAACAGGCACACAGACCATCCAGTAGGCTAGGGCTCTAATGGTGAGGGGCAAAGACAATCTGGAGCTGTGTCAACAGAAGAGCACGGTAGAAAGATGGAAGTTTAACAGCACTGTGCAGAAAGAGCAAGCCCGCTATAGTAAGCAAAATGCAGTAAAAAAAAAATAGAGGTAAAAAAATCTTTGACAGTCATGGAGGACTGTTATAATCCTCAGAGTAAAAGTCCAGTATGACACTGGAAGAAATGTTCTCACCCAATCTAGCAACAAGCCTCTGTTCTGCATGTCTACCTGACCTAACAGTTCCAATTTCATGAGAACTTAGTCTAAGGAGATAACCAGATGCTGCAGAAAAATAAGTGTTTAGAATAGTGAAAACTTGGAAAGAAAAACACTAGGGTGCACCACAGAACTGACTTTAACAATAACATCTATATAATTTATTTTGCTTGCTATATAACAACAAAAAAGAGAAATATTCCATGGTAAGTTGCTCGCATTACTTTAACACGTTAAAAGTTTAACTACAAAAGTATACATATAGTCTAGTTTTTGATATTATTAAAAGCCTATATGCATTGTTTCCAGAAGAGATAAATATTAAACGAATGGAAACAAAGGTATTCTTTTTACTTGAAGCATCCTGTATTTGCTCTACCATCTAAAACAGTAGTTCTCAACCTGCAGAATGAGACGACTTTAACAAACCTCTATCTCCAAAAATATTTACATCACGATTCATAACACTAGCAAAATTAGTTTTGAAGTAGCAACGAAAATAATTTTCTCATTGATGAGCAACATGAGGAACTGTGTTAAAGGATCGCAGCATTAGGAAGGTTGAGACTGCTCTAAAATATTCATAAAAAAGCACATTAAAAAAAAACAACTCATTGTGCTAGGTCTCTAGGCCCCACACACTTCTACATGCACCATAAAAGTCAGTCCACTGAAAACACCATTTTTAAATATGAAAAGTGATCAAGCATAAGGAGGCCAATTAGGAGAGCGAGAATGTCTCTATGACACAGTTATCATTTTATGGCCTACAAGCTATGTCTGTGTTGATGGAAACATCCTTTAAGAATCACATACAAATAGCACTCCTAGCAACATTTTGAAGCTGCTAAGACAGCTCAATGGGTAGAAATGCTTGCCTTCATGATCTCAGTGTGACTTCTTATCTCACATAAGGATGGAAGGAGAGAACTGACTACACAACTTCCACGTGTGTGCCCATACACACACTGCATATATGTACATATACATACACTGAAAACAAAAAATTGAAAAAAAGGGCATTTTTCTTAGATATTCAAAAGAACTATACTACATTATCAAACACTTATATTTGTTATTTCAACAACCAAAGTGCAAATAATCTGAATAAGCATTTATAACAGGGAAGTCAGGGTAGTTACAAATGAAACAAGTACCAATACAAGCGGAGTCAATTTAACTTGCAATATTTCCCTCCGAGGTTCCTTTTCCTTAATGTCAGCCTGATGGGAAGCAGAGGCAGATCTTCTGGAACCTTTTGGTGCCCTGCCAGGGGATCGGGAGCGTGACCTTGAGCGGCTGCGGCGGCGTCTTGAAGGAGAGCTGGAAGTTGAGCCACTTTTCCTTTGCTTAAAGGATTTTAAAGGCTAGAAAGAAAGAAGCAACAGCTGTTTTCAGAAGACTACCATCCAGTATCAGAGTAGAGCTAGAAGAGGTCAGTAAGGGCCACTCCCTGCCACCATCCATCATCACACAGGACCAGTGGGAACGCTGCAATGATCCCACCTCCTAGGAAAGAAACAGTTCTTTCCCTCCTCCGCCAGCTTGGTTGGTACTTCTCTGGAGTCAGTGCCTATCCCACTAGTTGTATATATTCCCAGTAACTTAAGAAAGGCGTAGCCGGGCGGTGGTGGCACACACCTTTAATCCCAGCACTTGGGAGGCAGAGGAAGGCGGATCTCTGGGAGTTCGAGGCCAGCCTGTTCTACAAGAGCTAGATCCAGGACAGGCACCAAAAGCTACAGAGAAACCCTGTCTCGAAAAACCAAAAAAACAAAACAAAAAAAAGGCGTGTAACTGATAATGACTAAAACCAACAAGGTTGGACATAACTAGCATGGAACCAATTTTTCAAAAAGTAATCAGCCCTACAGAGTCTCTCTGAAACCCACGTGAGTTCTTAACAAAGCCCACGGTTGATTCCCTTGGCTCAGCTTCTGCTCTGATCCACTGAAAAATCACTCCTTCCTCATTTCTAGGAATTTGGACCTGAGCAAGGCAAACCCCTGGGCCTCTGTCCAGGTACTGTCTAGTGTATGTGGCCCTCAGCTAAGGACGGCATTTACCTGTCTTACATGATTGCTAACAGCATAAAAGAGAAGTCAATGCCATACGACCTGGAGTTGCCTAAGCTTCAGAAACCCCATGAGCCATGAAGCCTAAAACACAGGGTGTGATCACAGACCATGGGTCCTAACTATTAGTTACTGACAGGTCACAAGGTCCAAAACTGTAAAGTTCTTTTTTGTTTTCTTTTTTGAGACAGGGTTTCTCTGTGTAGCCCTGGCTGTCCTGGAACTCGCTCTGTGGACCAGGCTAGCCCTGAAGACAGAAATCCCACTACTTCTGCCTCCTGAGTGCTGGAATTAAAGGTTAAAGGCATGCACCACCACCAGCCAGATCCAAAACTGTGAAGTTCTAAAGACAGAGCATTTTGATTAAGTAAGCTCATGCCTGTTGAATACAACTAAAACTCTGCAGTTTTAAGATATTTTCCTAGAGATTAATTGTTATGCATTTTATGTGTGTATTTGTATACCATGGGTCAACATTTTAAAATCCAGGCCCTCAACAGGCTGGGAAGGGGCCTCAAACCTAGAAAACACTGATTAAATCACCAGTGTTGAGGAAGGAACTCAAGCCCTGCCAAGAGGTGGTGGCACACACTTTTTATCTCAGCAATTTGAGGCAGAGACAGTAGGATCTCAGAGTTCAAGGCCAGTCTGGTATATAAAGGAAGTTCTGCAGGGTGGTGGCAGCACACACCTTTTAATCCCAGGACTTGGGAGGCAGAGGCGGGTGGGGGTGGGCGGTGGGGTATCTAGGCAAGCTGGTGTACTGACAAACTCCAAACCTACACAGAGAAACCCTGTCTCAAAAAAAAAAAAAAAAAAAGCAAGTTCCAGGACAGCCAGGGCTACACAGTGATAAAATACACAGTCTTAAAATCAAAGAGTAGAAACTCAAGCCCTGTACATAGCTATTTCAAAATCAGCCAAGTCTGCCTCCTGTGGCCCCTCCACTGACCCAGTCATGCACCTCTCTGGTGACTGTCGGCATCATCCACAGGCCTTAGGTATGCTGCCCGCCCACACCTGTTTCCCTGTTACTCCGAGCACTCAACTCCAGGAAACAGTGCTAACTAACATCCTAAACCTGGGGCTCACAGCAAACACCTCCCAGGAGGACCAGACTCAAATGGTATGAGCATGCCAGGATCTGCACCCACACTTCATTCCCGCATCCCTGAGCTAAGAAGAGCATGAGCCCAGAAGCTGGAGGTTGACGGGTGCCTTTAGCCCTCAGCCCTGCCGCAAGCCTAGGGTACACTCACCTTGACATCGCTCTCCTTCAGTTCCAGCTCCGTTCCATCTTTGTATTTTACAGTGTACAGCTGGGTTTTGCTGTCATGGCTCAGAATTTCTACTTCATAATAAAGGGAGCTCCCGGGCCATCGACCTCTAACCACTTCACCCTCGGCAAACTTCCTACTTGGCATTTTCTGAAATTAATCTGAACAATTGTGAAGGAAAAAATTCAGTCAATTTACTTTTTGTTTTTTGGTTTTTTGTTTGTTGGTTGGTTGGTTTTTTGGAATAGGTTTTTCCCTAAAACACAACTTTGTAGATCTGTTAGCTGGTCAAGATTTCTAGCAGGACAACACAAATTATTATTTGAGCTTCATTTTATTTCATTTGGAATCACTTTGTAGGAGATGACTTAGCCACTGGGGTACAGGAAGTGAAACTGAGAATTAACTTTGACAATTGTAATAGGCAATTGTAATCTTTTGTATTACTCAAAATGCTACTCACCTATAGTAACCAAACCACAGAGCACATCTCAAAAAAGATACTTATTTTTATTTGTAAATCTGCATGTCATCTTTAAAAAGCTTTAAAATGCACTTAATTTCATTTTTTACAAGCTACCTTACTGAAAAACTATGAGGCAAACTGGGAAAATTAAAAATACACAGTTAGTATTACTATAACCCACCAACAGGAAGGGATTTCAAATCCATAATAAAAAAAACATATTTGAGTGTTACTTCATAAAGTTTGCATTCTCAGAGTCAAATTCCAAGGGCATGTCAAATAACTCTGCCAACCACCCACCCAGGCCAACATGCACGTGGCCTTCCTCCAAGTTCACTCTCAAGCCTACAGCTGACACCTACTCCAGTTCTAACATTCTTTGCCACTGTTTCAGAACAGGGCCATGAAACCTTACATATACTTCAAAAAACTACAACCTTCAAGAACTGTCATTTACAGGGGGCAGTTTTGCCATCCTTTTAGAATATCAGATGGCTGTGCTCCTAGCTCTAAGGTGGGGAGGTTTCTCTCCTCACTGACTAGCAGATTCACAGGCTAAAACCAGTGCCTCTGGCCAGTGCCCTTGATACCAAAATGATGGAGCAAGGAGACAGAAGACTCCTTCAGCTAAAGATGTCTGTCACCTGCTAAGCAGTTCTCCACATATCACCCAAGCACCTAAAGACAAGTACTCTTCACACACTCCTGCCAGGAGGAGCTGGTTATGCAAGGACTCTTGCAGACTGTGGAATTAAGGAGAAAGTTGCATTACCTACCACTCCCAAGAAAGTGTTTCTAAATACATTTCTTCACTGTTAATCGCCTGAGAAAAAAACTTCACAAGCTTTATTTGTTTAGACAGACAGCAGATGAAAGTAAACTCAAGTGCTTATCTGGTGATTAGAGGCACATTACAGACTGCCTCAGTCTCCCTAAAGTGTGCGATAGCATCTCTGGGGTAATGAGGGTTTGGACTTGGAAGGGGAAAGAGCCCAGAAGCTCTGGGAATGAAGCTGGGAGGCAGAGCACCTGCGGGAACCTTGGGAGGCAGGAGGGCAAAGGCCCACCTCTGCATAAGGGGGAGGGGCACGAAAAGGGAAGGTGACAACATCAAGCTTTGTCGATTTCGACACTTAGTTCCAAGCCTCCCTGGACAAAGAGGAAGGAAATGTTCTGGGCTTCCTTCTCTGGTGCCCCCTCTTCCTTCCCAGACCGCCCCAAACCAACCAATTACTAGCATGAGAGTCTCCTACGCTGGTCATCCGAAGTTTGAGTAAGTCACAATATCTTTGTACATGAAGATGCCACTCTGGTCTCAAACAACACTTCAAAATCTTGAAATGAGTACATCTGGGCTTCTGGGCCACCTGCATCTTTAAAAGGGTCCTTGAACAGATTCATCCTGGATCATTTGAAGCATTCATTCATTCATTGTCATTTCTCCATCCCCTGGACCATCTGGGCCCGATCCTACTTAGCTTCTGAGATCAGATACTATCTGAGAGGCTTAGGATGGTACGGCCCTAGACTCATCATTTCTCTACTGCACCTGTCAGGCATCATATTAACTACATCTACGCAACAATGAACACATGTCAATGTCAAAGAAAAAAAAAAACTACTACTTATTAAGTATAATCCCTGGGATACAGAAATCAAAGCACAAAGTAGATATTTGAGCCTTAATTTTTCAAAAGTGCCTATAATGTGAAAGAGTCTGGAATTTGATCCTCAGGAAAAGCGGGAGGGAAAGAGTTATTAACTGAGACGTGGCTGGGCCTAGTGACTTTAATCCCAGCATTCAAGAGGCAGAGGCAGACCTTTCTCTGAGTTGGAGGTCTTGCCTAGTCTACAGTGGGTTCCAGGACAGCCAGGACTATCACACAGAGATTTTGTCTCAAAACAAACAAATAAAAGAACTGAGACTTGATGGTGATATCTGTTGTAATTTGAAAAAAAAAAGCAGAGAGTGAGAGAAAGACGCCATGGGACAGAGCTCAGGTGGAGGGGCTCTTTACTGGGGGAAAGTGAATGGAAAAGGGGGAGGGGAGTGGGGAGACCTCTGCGGATAAGAGTGGCAGAAGAGAGACGGAGAAAGAGGGGGATGGAAGGCGGGCAGGGTCCTTTTAAAAGGGAACATAGTGTATGGATGGGCACAGGTGGTGCTCTTGAGTGGCTACAGCTATACCCCACAAGGTCAGGCCAGTACAGATGCCTCAACAGTAGCTATCTCATGGGAGGTGAAGAACCCAGAGACAATAAAGGATGCGACCGGCAACATGATGTGCACGCCTCTTTGCCCGAGATCCATACACAGCCCGTGGAAGCTATGTACTATTGCACTGCAGGAGAGAATTATACTGTGCAGGAGAGAACGGACAGGGGGCTCCAGACACTTGTGCGTGTCCTTATGCCCCCAAGTAACAAGTTAAGATACGCAGACAGGCTTCCCTTAAAAGGGTGATTCAGTCAAGTCAGCTAAGAAAGGCTGTTTACTCAATACAGTACCCTCAATCCTACACGGCAGAAATACGGGGATCCTCGGGTGTTTTCCTGTTCGGCCAGATTCTTGCTAATTTGAGTGTCATTTGGCACTGAACTCGCACATACAATATATTACTATGTATCAATGTGACAGATTTCTTTCTGCTACTTTGCTCTCGGGCGTTACAAGGGTCTTGAATCATTTCCCCACTTTTCCAAATTCACTGCGGCAGAGAAAGAAAGCGCAAATGATGTCTGCCAGCTTCCTCCCTTTTAACAGCTGAGCCGGTGAGGCCTGCTGGGCAAAATGCAAAGAGGAACCGGCTCGCAGCGTCTATGCTCCTATAGAACCACCCAGAGCGGTTTTTCCCCCTTAAATCCCAAAGGTACATTTATCGTTTACTCCTGCTCATTCGCGCCCTCCTCCCCGGGCAACGCTCGGAAACTAAACTGAACTAATCGTCCCACTCTCTGGATTAGGTTCCCCCCCATCCCGCGCTTCTCTGCAGCCCCAGATCTACACGTGCTTGTGCACCTGGGCTCCGGCCCTCGCACAGCAGGTGACCGACCCCCAGCGGGGACAACGGCAGGGTGACTCGCCGCCAGCCCGTCCGACGTCGCCGACGCGGCCTGGAGCAGGCCCTCGACGCCCGAGTGCGCACTAAGTGGCCCTCGAAGCCGCGGGCGGCGCGAGCCCGGCTGTCAGCACGCAGAAGCACTCACGAGGCCTGGGAAAGGCGGGACGGCGTACCGGGAGTTGGGGCTTCGCCTCCCGGCGGCAGTTAGCTCCTCCCCGAAGGTCGCCCGCCCTCCGAGGGCCGGGACGCCGCGGCGAGCACAGCCCCGGGGCCGTCCGGAGTTCCCAACGCGCGCGTCCGGGGGGGGGGGGGAGGTGCGCAATTCGAAACCCACGCTCTGCTTCCCGCCCGCGCCATTCCAGCCTTGCCGGCCGCCCGGAAGAACCTCCCTCCACACGCGGCGGGGACCCGCGCCGCCGCTCACCTGGCCCCGCTCCGGCGGGAACTCCAGCCACCACTCCGGGACACTCACGCAGCAGCCCGCGGCGGTTCCGAGCGCGACACCACTCGGCCGCGCTCTCGCGCCCCCGAGGTCCCGCCCCTAGCGCGGCCTCCCTGGGCTCCTATTGGTCCCTCGACCTTTTGAATCATCGCCGGCGCTGCCGATTGGCCAGGCCCCGTGGCGCGTCCGGCCCGCCCGCTCGTGAGCGTTCGGAGTCCCCACCCGGCTTATCTCGGGCGCCCAGGCTCCGCGTCGCGCTCGGGCCCGCGCTCTCCCGCGGGGAGTCCCGGGCGGGCGGGCTGTGGAGAAGATGAAGCTCATGCTACCGCCGAGCCGGAGCGTCCCGGGCTGTGAAGCCGCGCCCGGGTCGTGTGTAACCCCGAGAGCGAGGGGATGGCGCTCTCTCCTCGGCTCGGTCCGAGTGGAAATCGAGTCGGCGGGCACAGCGATCCAGGCCCGAGCCCCAAACTTTTCCCCTCCCTCCCTGCTGTTGCCACTTTTGATTGTTCCCTTCCTCTCGGGTTGAGCGTTCAGAGCAGTTCGTTAACCACCGCCACCACCTCGCAGTGCTGTTGGGAATGGTATTTCTAACAACCCTAATCACTTGTGAGTGGGTTCAGATGCCAGGCTGAGCACGCCTTTCATGCGCAGCCTAGCTTCAGGTGCTGTCAGTTACAAACAAGCTCTTCCTCACATCTTGAGCGAGTTCCCCTTCCTGAGAACAAGTGCTGCCACCGAATCGTCGTCATTGCTTTTGGGTTTGCCCTAGGTGGAAATCCGGACCACAGGCGTTTGCGTTCTATTTCAAAGTCAGAAATCCTCTGAACGTGAATCTTGGCAGATCCCTTAAGCCTCAACTCTTAAGGATGAATCCTGTTCAGAGTTTTGCAGCAAATGATACAAAAAGGAAAACGCCATGCAGTGGGGGACTTTAAAAACAAATGCTATTTTTCATTCCAAAGAAATTCTTCATTCCTCATGGTTTTTACCCAGATCCAAGATTTCGTTGGGTTTTCTCTAAAGCACGTGTTTCCTGTATAACCATTTTAACTAACAAAATAAAAAATGAGAGAGGAAAACCCCTTATTGTAAACATAGGTTCAAACTATACACTTCAGAGGGTCTCTTCAAAAGAAAAGGGTGTAAATGAGGTAGGTTGGACGATAAAGTGCCTTGCCTTGCAAGAATAAG